TTGCATTAGGTGTGACCCCCCCCCCCCACCTCCCAGTAATAGCTTCAAAGTGTTCTCGTTTAATACTTTTAATGTTTATCTATAGGCCGGTTGTTAATACAGCTGGGTATAGCATTGTTTTCTCTATAGTTTACATGTTTACGTAATGGTACCCCCCACGCCTCCCTTGTCGGGATCGTCATTATGCACTTAAATTACTTTTTAACTCTAATTAACCAACCATTGCACTAGCAAAAAAACATTTATTTTGTAAATTTTGTATATAAATCATGTAATCCGGTGCGGTCCGAACCCCCGCTCTCGCTTCGGGACGCCTCTGAGGTATCTTTCACCTAACCAACCCCCACCTCCCCTATACACCACGCGCCCAACCCCCCCCCCCCCCTCCCTATTCGTTGGGCAAGCGTCCTTTTTCACCGTCTTTTCTTTTGGATATCGCGGCATTGAGACACGACGTGTTTTTACTGTCGAGCTAAGTTCAAAATGTTGTTACTGCTTGTCTTTTCTGTCTAAACTGTAACCACACTGTTGTGTGCTAACGAATACCTTTGGTCAAAACGTCCATAGCATTTGTAATTATCTTTAACTTGTAACTAACACTATCTGTTTTATTACTAATTGAATTGACCTGATTGCAGCTACAATTTGTATATATCCCGAATACAATATGTTATGAATATTATTGTAACTTTTCCTATACACGGGTTTTTGATATTCTAAAATTTAGAAATATTTTTTTATGTTTTCCAATGTAGGGATTATCGTGTTGTTAATTGTAGTTTATGTATTTTTCAATTACAGTAATACTTGTAGCTTGTGATGAATAGTTTCATCAACGACAAATAAACTTTGGTTATCAACATCCACTTTTTTATATTAATTGAGTGATTTGAAAAGATTACAAAAATGATTAATACACGCTGAAGGACTGAGAAACTTGTTTGTGCGTACCAAATCCAAATGTCCCATAACCACTGTATATTGAAAGTGTGTGCTGAATGTTTGTCAAAATTGAACTGTCTTTGAGTTGTTAGTTTGGTTTTGTTAAGCATTTGATTAATATTGGACTAAACTAGACTGTCTTAGGATTGTGGCACTGATCTTGCACGTACCAACTCCAGATATCCGGGTACCACTGTACACTGGAGTCTTGCATCATCTTCCGGCACAAGTTGCACGTCCACGGCACCTCCGGCACGGTCCGGTATTTGTTTTTTTCTTCCAGCATCTGCAGGTACAGCTGTTTGTCTTGCGACAACTTCCGCAAATACACGGCCAGCTCTTCAGGTGTATCAAAGTCCGCCGCGTCAAAAAAATTTTTGGGCGGGAAATTTTTTTATAGTCTGCTCCGCCCCGGACGACCGGTATGACGTCAACGTCATGGAAAAGTTTGAAAAAATTTCCGTGACGTAAAATAACTTAGTGGAAAAAGATTGCGTACTAATTAGAGGCGAAACAATTGTTAACTTTTTAGAGGCAAAAGATTGCCAACTACTTGTATGTGTCTCTGTGTATTGGTACAAACGATTTTTTAAATACTGGTTCAGTTAGGTTGAGGTACATTTATTAATAAGTATTATATCCAAATGTATACTAGACACGTCTAAAAAGAAGCCATTATTTAATTTTATCAGAACATGTTTAGGTGGGTGGGGGGGGGGGAAGAGGGTACTCACGTATTGCGAAGTTGTTTTTTTCCTAGACGTGTAGGTCTATAGTATACATGTAGCAAGTCTAACGCAGTTTTAGAGATCCTTGGCCTAGATATATGCCATGCTGTTTGTTTCACTTTCGTTTTCCAAGAATTTTTTTAACTCCATTAATTAAGTAGCCTACGTTGGTAGCGCAATATTTTGACAAGCTTAGAGCCGTTACGCTTAATATTTGAATTCACATTCTAAGTGGTTAGAAGTTAAAATCATGAACACAATCACTGCAAGTGATACCATTATTGAACTTAAGGAAATATTTTCAACTCATGGATTACCCGATCAAATTGTTTCAGATAATGGGCCTAGTTTCACTGCTCATGAGTTTAAACTGTTTTGTGTAGCAAATGGTATTGAGCATATAACCACATCACCCTATCATCTTGCTGGGAATTGTTTGGCTGAAAGAGCGGTAGGCGTATTCAAAACCGCTATGGTAAAAATGAGTACCGGTAACAAATTTTTTCTCAGGGAAAGAGTAAACAGGTTCTTAGCCAAATACCGCACAACTCCTCATATAACAACAGGTGTTGCACCATGCGAATTGCTGTGTGGTAGGAAAATTAAAACTCACCTTGACCTACTACATCCAACTGTTCAAAGGTCTGTTTACAAACATCAACATACACAAAAAGTAAATCATGACAAAACATCCATTGAAAGAGAATTTGGAGTTGATGATAATATGTATCTGAGAAATTATGGGAGAGGGGAAAAATGGATGCCAGGTCAAATTGTTCAATGTACAGGACCTGTGTCTTATAAAGTAAAAACTAATGATGGAATTATTGTCCGTAGACAAGCAGACCAGTTAAAAATAACTTGTGCAGATAATAAGTGTGAATCTGTCAATCCCACCAAAGCTGATCAGTTCACACCAACTCAGTTTGTTCCACAACCAAGTTCTGTTGATATGAGTGAACCAAGTACTCTAGAGTCAGAAAATGTAAATTCTGGAATTAATGATTTAGATCCTGGACTTCCTGAGCTAGAGAGTCCAGATGGTCAGAATCTTGAGTCACCAAATCAAAAGCCACTGAGAAGGTCAAACAGGACAATCAAAGTCCCAGATAAGTTAGACCTATGATTTTAAAGGTCAAGAGGACTTTGACATCATTGTTTTGTATTTTAATTATGTTGTAGCATATTTTGCATTTGTTTGTAAGGGTGTAGTCTACCAAATGATTCAAATCATAAAATGTTCATGTTACAATATATTTGGTGATTTTAGGATACTATCATTTGTTCTATTGAGAGCTGTGTTGTTGTTTACTAAGGGTAAAGGGATGTAATATATTGAGAATTGTGAAGTCAAGGGAACTCACTCTTCTTGTATTAGTCTTATATTTATGTTGTTTTGAGTGATGTCCCCTGGTTTTGTCATGTGTCTTCCGGTTTCGAATAAAGCTAGTTATACATCAACATGGCTCTATCGTCCAGTGTGTAATAATAAAAACATCAATCCATTACAAAGGTAAACGTCATAGATTTATAGTTGTCTTTAAAGCAGGGTGTCGCCTACGATTTTAAACTTAAATATTGTTCAAGATTACTTAAACAATTAAAAATGCATTTATTTACTTTTAATTTGATATCAATTTTAATTATCAAAATTAATCTGAAGCCTAGGAAAATTGATTTGTGAAAAAAAAACTCGTTTGTTTTTAAATAGCAACGATGATATGACTGATACTCAGTGATACGGTGGGTTAGTTTTTAATGAGTGTTGTTGTTACGCGAAAAACCGTTCACTGACGTTCAGCAATGTGTCGTATGCTAGATTTTTTCTAATTGAAATACACGGCTGGCAAAATGGGCGGGCTTAGTTAGCTGTTGTCTCGATCAAATTTGTTTTAAGTTAATTTTTTACCTTGCTTATTTTTTTAATTAACAAAATTTGTTTAGTCGGAAGTAACATACAATTTTCTATTGCTTAAAAACAGTTTCAGTGTTTTTACATTAATGTTAAATACAGTAGTTAAGTTTTGCTTACTTTACGTGCTACGTCATATTCTCAGCGATTAGGCCCAAAAAATATTTCAATGGCAAGTTATCATCAAACATTAATCATCCATTGTTAAAACTAGATCGGTATCATCGAATAATACGCAAAAATAATGTTAATAAGTGTATGTTTTTGAAATGACCATGAAACATTGTGAAGAAACAGAATCACGTTATCGTCGTTTTCGGCAGCCATCATTACCATGACGACGGTAAAAAAAAATAGGTCAAGCGACAGGCTTCATTTAAGTATATAAATATATTAATTGAAAAACATCATTTTATTGGAAAGGACAATTTAGCTTATTGATATCTTTAAAACGTTTTATGAATTTTTATCATGAAATCAACCCACTAGCTTGAAGAGAAACTCAAACACATATTGAATTGAAGGAGACACAAAAGACAACAGTCAACTAAACCCCATCTAATTCGTCCGCAATGTTTTTGATTTGATAAATAGGAAGAACTTAAGCAGAAGACATTTTAGGCTACTTGTGGTGATGTAATGTGTATGAAAGGTGAATACGTGGAACGGATCACTGCGTGTGTGTATGTATCATGTAGTGAGACGCGAGGCCGGGTGTGTTGACGTGTATGTTGTTGTACGGAGTGAACGAGGGTAACAAGGGAAGCGAATGGTCGAGTGGCAGTGGCTGTGTTGTGAGCGGGAGAAAGGTGGTGTGTAGGAATGAATGCGGAAGACAGTTGAAAGTGGGGGTGAACACAAACATGTTGATGTGGGACTAGGTGGCGCGTTTGAAGAGAAATAAAGGATACTGTGATACCTAGCCTCAATCGTGTTGGTTGTGCATTCTTTGAGATTCTGACACCCTCACACTACTGATTTTTTTACTTGAAAATAGCATTACATTTAAGGAAAATAAACAAATGTAGGCCTACGAATGAATTATATAAGTCTTTTAAACACAATGAAATTTAAAATCGCAGGCGACATATAGAGTCGTAAGGTACACTGATTATCTCTTAGGCACCCAATCTACTCTGAACTACGAATAAACAATATCGTTAAAAGAATGTATCTTTTTGTAATCTTGTGGCAAAGCGATTCAATCCGGCAAGGCATGTTTACTTTTTTGTGTGCTAATTTTATGGTGAACATAACTATAATTATTAACATGTTTGTCGTAACTTACTTTATCAAATTTAACTGGAATTTGAAAAATTCTACTCATCGTGTATTTTATTATGGATTCACGTCTATCACATTTGAAACTTCCAAACTAAACTAGACAACTCTAATCGGTATTTTATTTTTATTTTCAGATATATAAAAATCAGCTTTACTAACACAAGCCAATTGAGGTATTTTTGCAACTCGCATATTCACCACCATTTTTATACGTGAAAGGTAAGCTATGTATTTTTGTCTTTAACTTATCTCGTAAAATGACGAGTCTATATTTTGAAATCACACCATTATCTATGTTTAACGCTGCAACTAGTATAGGTACGAAGTTATCATTTAATAGACAATATTATTTACTTTTGATATAAATACTCAAGTGTAAAATTTAATTCAGCTTGTGTTAAGATTTATATATTTTTTTACTGTCCCTGAACCACATCGAAGTAAACAAAAAACATTTGCAATTGCATGGTTTTTGTTTAAGAAATCAGCAATAACAAATAAACTTCAAAACATATGAAAGAAATATGATAATTTAATGAGATAGAAAAGTGTCATCTCTAATAAATGAAAAATACAACCGATCAGGCAGTTTTCAATCTGTCAACACAATATCCTCTATTGTGTGTCTTAAACAGGGTCAGAGTATTGTATCATTTACACATGTGTTTGCGTGCTAACATTTTTAAGTTAAAATTTTAGAATTCTTAGGACTATTTTTTTAAAGTTAAAACTAGCTGAATATTGGTTTGTAGGTCTGCTGGCTCGCCCCACTCATTTGGTCAACTGTTATTAATTGTTAAATACATTTAATTAGTAATCGAACCATATTTGTTCCACAAATATATGTCGCAATTGCTGTACTCCTAAAGTATATTTTAACAACAAAATCATAATTAATTATAGCCTTAAGACATTCTAGTTATTGCGAGATAATCAAATTATCTTATAAGATGAAGTTTACCTACCTGGAATTAGTTGATATTTCCAGCGAAAATCGTTTAGGGGTTTTATTTCTGTTACCTTTTTATTCAGCCTGACATTTTTTTTCATAATGTGACTTCTCTATGTGTCAAAATTAAATAATACAAGTGCGGCAGTTTTGATTTCATAAGTAATCACGTGTATAAATATAAAATATATGTCAAACAGTGTATTAATGAAAAAAAAGCATTATTGCATAGAATAAATTGATTGATATACATGATTTTAATCTTTTCACGATACTTTAAATAATGTTTTTTTTATAATAGGTGAAGCTGTTGATAACGATGGGTTTAAGACAACCAATGTTTCTATTTTATTGTATGAAAGCGTATCAAACACGTTGTTAGATTAATGCAAATGACGTTTAACGCAAAAAAGAATGATTATATTAAAGATCTTTAAGCAGCTCCATAAGTAGTTATAAGTAAAAATAAACCGGGAGAGATCTCCCCTAAACTTTCTCGAATATTCTTATATAACTCGGAATATAGACATGATTTTTAATTACTTAAACTTTTAAAAATAGAATAGAATCTCGTAGTAAAAAGAATTGCGCACCAAGCGAACGCCAAAACAAAATGTGCATAATAGTGTGCAATATTATTAGTACTTTAAAAATTTACATTAGTTTTTGAGAAATTGGAAGTAGCGTAAATTACTACTTCCGGTCAACGCAAACTACTTAATATTTGATAGAAGGTAGAGAATTAGATCTTTTACTTACATGTGAAATTTCATTTATCTATCTGAAATAGTACTCAAGTTATAGGCTTTTTAAAAATTCAAAGTAGAAAAAGTACCACTTTCGGTTATCGGGAATCACTCAAAAGTTGAAACGGATCTACGATTTTGATAAAATACTTATATATGAAATTTCATCAACCTAGCTGTAACGGTACTCAAGTAATCGTGTTTACACACAGACACACACACAGACACACAGACATACGGACAGAATAGCAAAGCCCAGTTTTTCAGACTGGATTACGCATAAAACCTCTTAATTTTAATAAATCTGGATTGATAATTTTTGCCCGATTAAAATAAGTCCTCTATACTTCGGATGTGATAAAGGACTGAGGTATAATACGGTGAAAACTGTTAAAATTTCAAGTGATTTTTGTGCACGATTACAATACTTTCTCTATACTTCGTATATACTAGAAAGTAAAAAAACGAACTTCGCTAAATGTAGAAAAAAAATTCTATAAGAGCTTAACTGCAATCAGAACAAAAATGTTCACCATATGTTGAGTTAACTCAGTTGGATATATTTCAACACATACAAATAACACATTTTGTGACCATCATAATTTGTTTTCTCCGTATTATAATCCATTTTAATACATTTTAGCAGTAGCCTGCTACATCAAAATCATACTATTGTACGCTCACTTTACACCAGGGGCGGAATTACAGTGCCGCCAGACCCCGCAATGCGGGGGGCCCGGGCCGTTTAGGGGCCCGCAGCCGACCATAATCAATTTTTTTATAGTTAAAAAAAATCTTGCGTTTTTGACTTGATGGTTTTTTTTGTAAAAAAAAAATACTTTAGCTGAGGTTTCATTATCTTCATTCTATAGACACCATCACGAGTCCTCTTTCTCCTACAGTCAAACACACTTTGTTGTGGGCAAAATTCTTTTGAAAATAAATGAATCGCGTGAAAGATAGGCAAACGTTCAAGCCACTGCCATGACTTATTTCCCTTTTTTAAATAGTCAAATATGTGGCTCTCAAGCCCCTTTAATAGATTTGCACTAAACAAATTAAAAAGCAATTACTGCTCTTAATTATTATTTTTAAAAAATACATAATAAAGAATAACAAAGCATAGACAGGAAATTTATTTAAAACTAATAATATAAAAACGAAAAAAAAACTGAAAATAAACATAACGCGAAAAACCATTATACATACAAAGCTTTCATGCTTCATATTCTTTTGACCGACTTACTTTTAGGCAGCATTATAGCAAACATATACAATAAAGATTTTCAAAATAGACTAATAAGCACTCACACAATTGACGTGTTGTTGTAACTGGTTTTTAGTTTTAAAAAATGAAGTATTTTTAATTTTTTAAACCTCCATCAAACCCGAAATGAGTACTCTATATTGGCATTTTCGTATTTTGTATATATATATATATATATATATATATATATATATATATATATATATATATATATATATATATATATATATATATATGGGGCCCAAAAAATTATTTGCGGGGTGGCCCTTTTTTTCTAGTTCCGCCACTGCTTTACACAAAAACATTTCTTCCTTATTTTTGTGAGTTTTTGGCTAAGCCATGCTAAGAAGTACACATTTTTTTAGGTATTTTTAGTTAAGCGAATGTGATCCCCCCAAAACGTTCAAGTATTTTCTTACATAATAGTAAGGAGGATGGTACTTCGAGTACAATAGTGCTACATTTATGTTTTTGATTAATTTGTTTTTAATACTTAATTTTTACTTTCTCATATATAGAGTATATATGAAGTATTGTAACCGTGCTGAATAGGTAAATTTTGACAATTTTCGAAGTTTTACACCTCACACATTATTTACTTAGTTTTTGCAATTGCGAAAACTTGAGTATCGTTCCAGTTAGGGTGACGAAATCTCATATCAATGTACTATACCAAAAGTTTAGCTTTTCATAAACCGGAAGTGATACTTGTATTTTAATTCCGTTTTGTGTTTCAAAAAACAAGTAACTATAGCATGGTTTAAATTAGATGGCTGAAATTTCACATTTTAAGTACTGCATTGTATGCAAAAGGTGAATATCAACTTTTGAAAGATCGAGTAATGTTTCAGTTAGGTGGACGAATTTTTATACATAAGTATTAGATCTTATTTTATTCATTTTATTACATTTGAGTTATTTCGGGTGACGATTACAATAATCCTCTATACTTCGTAGACGAAAAAGTAAAAACACGGAATAGAATCCATCTGTCTGATAAGTAGCATGGTAAACCGTCGTGGCATCAAAACGGTATATTTGACCAACTCCCTCCATCGTTCTCCGTCCTCCAGCATCATCAGTGTCACACCCAATGTTTAAACTGTTCATTCTCTTATGTTTATCCTCCGCCTTTTTTATTTTTCCTTTCCGTTTTGCGTTTTTGTCACCAAGCTGTGTAATAAGCTTTGGCTAGGTCCGATGATGTGATAAGAAGTTAAAACGACAAAACATGAATCATCAAAAACAAGTCTTAATTGCTCACTCTTTTAATCCATATTTTCGTGTATCTAGCTACAACGTTTTCACTCACACTTACTGTCTGTCTCTCACGTATCATTCTTTGTCTTTATCAATACTTTGTTATTTTATGTCCCTCATTCTCATTTTTTCATCATATCTACCCTTATCATTATCATTTTTTTCTTTTTTTCTGTCTAATTATAGTACATTTCTCTCACTTTCTTTAGCTCTATCTTTCATTCCTATCTATAGGCCTACTCTCACATATTTTCTCTCTAATGCTCATTTTTCCCTCCGTCTCTCATTTTCAATCTTTCCTCCTATTTCTTTATCGCTCTTTTTCTTACATTCTCTCTATCGCGTTCTGCATTTAATATATTTTTCTCCCAAACACATTTTGCTTCACTTATTCATACGCCTGAAAACATGAGAAGGATGAAAACGTTAACTGTGGTAGGTACATGTGTAATTGTAAAGACAAAAAGTATAGTTTCAAACAAACAAAAACTATTTTTATTTTAGATTAACACCAAGCATCACTGTAGAAAACAATGACCGGACATAAGACAGATGATTGCATCATCAGAGTTGGAGAACAAGAGTTTACAGCCAAGAAATCTCTGCTTATGGAATGTTCAACTTTTTTAAAAGAAGAATTAATGTATAAGTCTGATACTGATATTGATATAACACAGACATTAAGTGATCCTGATATTTACAAAGTTGTACATGATGGTATTACATTGGAAAAAATGTCTTTAAATGAACTTAACATGATTGATGTATGGAAAGCTTGTAGAGTACTAGGAATTAAGAAATGGGAAGATCATTGTGAAAAATATGTAGCTCGTCATCTTGTCAAAAGCAATTATTTACTTTTGCTTAAAAATGCTTTAGCCATGGAGTCTACGATTGTCACAGAAAAAATGATCAATTTGATAGATGAACACTTTGATAGTTTTTGTAAAACACAGTTATTTTTAGGCTTGAACTCAGAAATGGTGATAAACATTATCAACAAAAGCAAATGTATCTCGACTGATGATTTAGTACAAGCAGTCGACCAATGGTTAGATAAAAACGATCCGGACCCAAATCAGGCAATGGAGCAAAATAATCCAGAGCAAGTTCAAGGCACATCGTCTAATCCCACTGTTGATATTAAACAAGTAGGGCTGGGGCACCACGAAGAAGCCAAAGCTTTTGAAGTTAGATCGATTATACTAAAGAAATTTAGTCTTGATCAACTGACTGGGCATATTAAAGAAATATTTCAAAAAATTGAAAAGAGGTACATGAAAGAAAAACCTTTTGAAATTCCTGCTTGGCTTGCAAAGAGATATAAAGAGATTGGTTGGCATTATGTGGATTTTAAATATCATCAAAGTGCAAATAAAACTGTAGCTGTATATGTCAAAAATAATACATTTTGGATGTACAGCTTAGCAACCGAAATAAGATACGAACTTAAGATTCAGATAAATGAACAGATTCAAGACTTCTATGTGTTTGCTAATGACCTTTATTATACTACGGAAGTAAACGGCCGGTTAGAAACTTTTAAAGTCACAGAACCAACTAAAGCTACAAGCCTGGAAGGAGTTGGTGTTTCTTTAAATGAACGTCGGTACTTTATGGTCTACCCTTTTATTTATGAATTTAAAGTACAGGATAAAGATTTGATTGTGTCAAGCTTTGACATTAATGCACAAGAACGTAACTGGGAAGGAAAGCACGCAATTACTTTAGATAACACTGTGGATATTTTTGATTGCATTTTATTTCTTAACAATTATATAATATTTAATAGAAAGAGCAAAATAGCATATTTCAACGTCAAAAAGCAAAAAATATTTTCTACAGCTTCCAAGAATCAAAGTTCCACTGTGCTGTTAGGTAAAGACTGTGACTTTTTATACAGCGACGGCCAAGCTTGCAAAGTAATTGAACAAGGCGATACTTTGAATTTCAAAGACAACTGGTTTATAGTCTGGAAGTATTATACCACAGACGTCTTAATGTATGGAGCAAAACTCTACAACGAAATTTGCTTTGTTTTTACTGATGATAACAGACAAAAAACATCGTGGGATCCTCCCATGGTTGAAACTAAGTACGTAGAGTTACACGGTGATGTTATTGGGAAAAAAACAAAATGCGTGTTTATGAATGTTCCTGATGATTGGCTTTGGTAAACTCTAGATGAATTTTCGCTACTTTACTTTCTCTCTAGTGTAATCAAGTAATGTCTATTTAATCATTTAAAAAATGGTATGCTTCTTGAGCTTTGTAAATGTGAGTGTATATTAACATACAGTGGACGTAGTTTAGTTATTGTAGGCTAATTGTTCATTCTATATTGCTAGTGGGAACGAACTTAAATGAGGCATAGCTTTGTCAATTAAACTAACAGTAAAAGTGACAAGCGATACATTTAAGATGTTGTCATATCCACATATCTCACCACCTCTCCATAAACCTTGTTACATGGTAAAACGAGGAACGATTACAACGTCGCCAGTGTGAAGATCATACTTGTATTTTCAAAGTTAAGACCTATTTTTGCAAAACAAATTTCATGTTTATAAATGTTATGTTATTTGGTTAACTATGTGTATGCTTTTATTTTGTAGAAGTATTAACTTTTCCTTTTTAAAAAATGTAATTTGGTGGAGGTTTTGTTTTTACATTTATATAAATTATACAAAATCTGGATTTATGTGTTCAAATCTTACATTGAGTGTGCCTGTTAATTGTATAAAAAAAATAATGTTCTCAAATAAGTATATCACGCTTTTAGTAAACATTGTGGGGAGGGGGGATAAGTGGCTTTTTTAAGAACTGTAGAAAATATCAAAATACACAATCACTTGTGTACTAATAAAGGCTAATTGAAGTTTCATATGCGGTTAACTTGAACAACATTAATAAGGAATTTTTAAAACCCCACCTAAATTCCGAAAACCATGACACAGATAGAAACACTTTAAATAATGTACAATAGGTTGGTATCTATCTTGTCACTTCTTTATTTTGTTTTATTTTAGTGAGTACTACCTTGGTACATTGGGGTAGAGAAAGATTATATCAACATTCTAAACCGTTGCGGCATTTATGTTTAACTAAATCACTTAACAAATCAAATTGCAAATAATAGAGCGAAAACGTTATTACGTTGGCCGTCAATACACTAATACTAATATACTTAAATCTCTCAACAAATAATGTAAACAAAAAAATTCAATCATTATCTCTTAGTACAAATTTCCCTCCATGCACAAATGAAGATGCATTTGAATTAATATTTTTATTCTACACAATATTGTCATATTATGTAGCAACTGTGGTAATTCCTGCTACCAAATAAAAATTGTGTGTTTTACGTCAACAAAATCTGAGAACACTTTATATTAAAAACTAGCGTGCCCCTCTCGCGCGTTACTGCGGTCTTAGAAATTAAAAAAAAAATAAAGAAACTCATTATAAAAGTTATGATAACATGAAATAACGGTGTGACAGAAACCAAAGCACATACATACACACAGCGGATAAGTATTTTAGTTTCAGTTTCAGATCGTCTCTAAATAAAACCTTCGTTACCCACACACAGCCAAGTACAGTATATTTTTTTTTCATAAATTCGAAGAAATTTGATTCGCGTAAAAGGTAAGCCTTTTCTTTAATTTTACAAGCTTTTATTTAACTCACTTCCTCTGTCTGTCGACAGTCTGTCGTCAGTCTAGATCGAAACGTAGGAGTGAAAATTCGGACAGTTCTATTTGACCGATACGATTCACAGTTGGCACGTGGGTCAAGACATGAAGACAATGCAATCTGAAACTAAATTTGACTTAATTGGATGCCTAATTAATTTTTTATGAATAAATTAAAATTTGGACCGAATTAGTAGGAATGTCTATCCAACCACACCACACGCGTCATCACTTTCAATAGCTGCGCCATCAGGTTTAATAGCTGCGCCATCACGTTCAATAGATGCGCAATGGTTTTTAGTCATGTAACACTTTTGTAAATAAAACATGTAAAGTACTGAAAAAAAATTTCATAAGAAACGTTTTAATAACAAGCTTTTATGTAATGATGCACTAAAAAGTATAAAATAAATTATACACTACTATTTAAATTACTATAAAGAAAAGCGTGGGTCTCTTCTCAAATATTAGTAAAGGTATCCAATAGGTACTAAAGTACTAAAGTGACCCACGCTTTTCTTTATAGTAATTTAAATAGTAGTGTATAATTTATTTTCTACTTTTTAGTGCATCATTACATAAAGGCTTGTTATTAAAACGTTTTTTATGAATTTTTTTTTTATTTATCTATATGTTAGGCTATATGTTTTTACTAAAATTGAAATTTCGGAAATAAGTCACAGCTGCAAAATATGGGATCAGCCGCCTCGACTACCTCGCATCAGGTCAGAAGTGTAAATGGAATATAGGGCCTCAACCATTTTTTTCAATTTCGTCCGATCCCCGGCTATTAATTTTGCCGGCCCTTCAAGACATCCCAGTTTAGTTCTTCGAGAAGACTCTGCCTCCAGGTCTGTCTTGGGCGCCCTCTCTTCTGCTTTCTCTGGGGGTTCCACTCAAGCGCTTGGCGTGTCACATATGGGTTAGTCTTTTGCAATGTGTCACCCACCCAGCCCCACTTCCTCCTTCTTATTTGCACTGTCATAGGCTCCTGCCTTGCTTTTCTCCATAATTCTATGTTCAGCACTTTGTCCTGCCACCTCAATTTCAAAATCTGCCTAAGGCATCTGTTCATGAAGGTCTGTTTCTTCGCTGTGCTTGCCTTGGAGACTCTCCATGTCCTTGCTCCAAACTGCCTTGACATTTGAGTTAAATATCCTAGTTTTTGTTGTGTTGGAGATGGCATACTTTTTCACGCTGATGGCACACCGCCTTGAATTTGAGGGATGGCTTGTGTGCCCATGCGACCATCAGAGATCTGCCGACGGGAGCCTAGTGCTCCTGGCAGGTCTAACCAAGTCGGACAGATCTGCTCGTGTAGGGGCCTGACCAAATGTTGTGCCCTGGTCCTCCAGGTGTGGGGTTGTACGATAAGCTAACTACTCGTCCACATAAAACAAAATATAGTTACAGAAACCGAAGCCAAATCTGAAACTAATCCAGTCCTCGGAAGAACCAGGTCTCCACTTAGGAGAAGTATGACGCTCTACTACATTATAGTTTAATCGCCCATTTTGTCGATACACGAAGAAACTACTAAATCTACTGTTAACAATAGATAAGTATGGGCCACCAGTGACTGGCTAAACCATGAGCCACAGGGTGAAGTTGGAGAGTACACATTCCAGCCCTAAACCGACATCAAAGAGGTCAGTGACAAAGATTGTCCTCTTGCTGCCAATGTTTACTCGTTTAAAAGAGAGCATGTCGTCAAATTTGTGACAGAATATGTCACACTGGCTCAAGATAGAAAGGCAAATCGAAACGATGTAGTTTTACAATTAAACGATTATACATGGGGAATGCATTTTAGTTCACCATTGAGGGACATGATTGATATATTGTTATAAAATCACTACAAATAGTGCAACAAAATAAATTTCAAACAATATAATACTCATAAAATTAAGTCCTCCGTGTATGTAGGAAATATTACATTTTTTTTTCGTTTATATATATACACGTTAAAACTTTAAATGAAAGTATTGTAATGAAAGTGTGGAGCAAATATTTTTGAAAGTGGGTGATAAAAGACTTAACCACAACATGTTTTGTTGTATTAAACTTAATCCTGATAACATGTGTAGTGAAAGTGTTCAGCATCACTGCAAACAGTGGCGACATAAAACGGAGCTTTACAAACTTTCACTTATCTCACATTGTACGTCATTCAGTATGTAGTCTATTAGTTTAACTCAGTTGGACTCATTGAACAATTGATAGAATTTGCTTTTCAACTTAGCAGTTAACTATATCTTACGATAACACAAATATACTTATTTTATATTTTAATAAAGAATAACTTAGTCTTTATCAGTTAAAGAAATGGTATGATTCATCATTATTAAATCGTATCATATTTGCAAATCTTTAGTTTCGCTATAAATAGCTATTCAGAAAATTTGCAGATTAAAGCACAAAACATGAATAAAATGAGCATTGCCTTATTTGATCCTTGTGAACAGTCTCCTATCCAACTGTAATCTGAAAGAAGTCAAACCATGCAGGACAAAAACAAATTTGCCATTATTGAGTTATTTTAGTAGGCTTCTATAAAAAAACAAGTTAATAAAAAGTCTAGTGATAATTTAAGCGCAATTTCCTTATGTTATCCATAACAATTTTAAATCGAGATAAATCATATATTCAGCAAATAAATAATGCAACACAAGTAGTTTTAATAATTCAAAACAAAATAGAAAAAATATTTGTTAACGAGTTTTAAAAAAAAATTGCGGACGTATAGGGGGTATTTAGTTGTCGCGCTCTCTATATTGCTATATAGAACTGCTCCCGCAGTTCGCTGCTAAGCCAGCCAGGTCACATGATTTACCCTCCTCCTCCTTCGCCTTCCACTGCCTTCTTTGCTATATAGTACTGTAATGTATTATGTATGATGTAATTTTTTTAAAAATTTTGTGACCGAACGAAAGGATATTTTTGAAAACTTTCTTCGGCAATATTGTTCTAAATTATGGCAGGAATCGATTGGTAAATATTTCAAGTCGCTAAGTGGTCTGGTTGCCCAGATATGGGCCAAAAACTGCATTTTTTCGAGGTTTTTTGGCTATTCCGGGAAATCTAGGAAGGAATTCCGGAATTTTTTTTGTCCCACAATCATCCTCGGAACTTGCTTAACATATTTGCTTTTGGAACTAGTCCTCGATATTGCTTCGTTGAGGAGGAGATACGAATTAACGCTGCGGACATCCATCCATCCATTCCCAGAAATGACGAGTTAATAATCGCAATTCTCCAGAATGGAAATTGCGCTAAAAACATTAACTAAAACAAATATGGCTAGTTATGCACTGTGTATTTTAAAAAAAATAGCTTTCATTTATGGTTTTTCATATATTTTAAAATTTAGTTACTTCTTGGTAACAGGACACTCAACCATAGATTTAAAATTTTCCGCAATTATCATTTTGAAATAACAATACAAAAATACAATATTTTTCTTGGATTTTATTTATAATCTATTCAAGACATTTCTATTATAGCATAAACCTGCTTAAATGCTGAAGAGAATAATTACACAAATGGTTAACGCATTTGTCCTGCATATACAAAGTCCATATGTCTCATAACCAGTGGACTGAATATATATATTGTAGTTATTTATCACGAGCCGACCCTCGGCGTATCATATGCCGCTATTTAGTTGTTTTATTTTCTGCTTTTCAGTAATTCATAATTTGTGAATTCGACAGTACCAATGCTGCCACTGAAAATATTTGCTTTAAAACACTATATGTAGGTCGTTAAGGACGATAGACCCTCCACCCTCCTTTCCCCCAACCCCTACCCTACCCCCCCCCCCCCCCCCGTGAAAGCAGCCTCTTAGTTACCTAAGTAAATTATCTGCCCCTAATAGCCGTCACTAAACCCGGCTCTACGATTGTAAACATTTATCGTGAACCACAGCT